GGGGGGGGGGGGGCAAGGAAAATAGAGTTAGAGAAAAACCCAGACGCTTACAAAGCTCTCCAAGAAAGGCCACTTCATAAATCTCCCCCAACGTTCTGTGACGCTCTGACTTTTGCCCGTGGGGCTCATAAGATGAGATGCAGGTGCTGGATGTAAAAATAGAAAAAGAGGAAAAAGTACATTAAAAAGAAACGAAAAATGGCGGCTGTGATTGGTCCCAGTGTGACACATTTATTTAAATAGACATGCGGTCCTGCTATCGCTGGGGATCCCCAAGATACTTTGTCAGCTGTAGGTAACAGGAGCCATACGGAGGAGCACAAATGGCACCATAACCACAAAGGGAGACTGAAAACGTGAGGCGGAGGAGACGATCAGAGGAAGATTGATGCAACCGAAGCTAATTCATAGCCCTGATGACCAATGTGAACCTGGATGGTATCTGGAGTCTGTGTGTCTGGCGGAGAGCGAACTCTGTTCCCTGTTTGCTCAGACCCTCGGCCACGGCCTTGCCCATGCGGTGAGACTGGTTTGCCTTTCATTTTAGGGTGGGGGCCGGGTCGGTCAGTCCCACACACCGTGCCGGACATGAGACCACCCTGGGTGCCCCCCCGCTGTTCAGCCCAGCTGCCTGCAGATAAAATGGGAAAGTATCCAGTGTGAGGGAGGCCCGACACGTTCTAACAATCCGGAACAATCCATTGGCAACGCTGCAGAATGTAGTAACGCCATAGTAACACCAGGCCGTAGGAGTATGGCAGCCGGTGAGTATTCTCAGATGAGTAACACTCAAGGGGCTTTTCGCTCTGTAGTCCTCTTCCCTCTGATCTGACTCTTTCAAAGCTCAGTACAGTGACTGCGAAGCTGTCAGCACCCTGGGCGGGGGGGCGGGGGGGGGGGGCGGTGCTCGTCTGGCAAACACAGATTTATTAGAAGAGGAAAAACAGCCAAATTTATACGTGCAGAAAAGCCAGATTCTTTCCAAACAAAAAGACAGCAGCAGATCAAAGAAGAGACCTAAGACAGCCATATGGCGGCCATGTTGGTCACAGATTAAGCATCGCGCAGTGCGCGGCTTGTGTGTGTGTGTCTGTGTGTGTGTGGTGTGAGGCTGCGGGGCTGGTTTATTGAGGAGAATCTCCTTTTATTGGAGTCCCATCACCTTGGCGTGGGGGGGGGGGGTGGATTCAGCAGACTGAGGTCGACTCTTCTGTCCGACACTGTCTGACTAACCCCCACAGACACTCGTGTTTTTCCGTGTTTATTTTGGACAGAATCTATTCATAGATTCAGGAGCCTCCTGAAGCGCTTCGGAGAGGCTGTGGTCCGTCATCCTCCTCTGGTTTCCTCCTTCCTGTGGAGGCTGCAGCTCGTAGCAGATGAATGACTGTTGCTCTCGCAGACGCATCCATGCCGCGTGTGTTGGAATGTGACACTGGCGAGACTGAACATTCGTTTTCGCTGTCATCACGCAGTCTGTGCCCCAAAGCTTGGGGCTCTTTATGGGGCAGTTTACTGCTCACAGGCTGATTTATTACTTTTATGATTGTATGATTGTGTTTTTTTTATTTTTTATGGGCGTGTAGTGATAACGAGTCAAGCCTTTGTGAGTCGCCAATTCTCTCATTTTGTTATGTCACCGGAAGCAATATCTCACAAGTAAGAAGATCCATCATGTCAAATCCACTCCTTGATCGCCTCCTGCTGGTCAGCTGTGGGTAGTGATGTTTACTGTTCCTGGACCTCAACCTTTGACCTGTATACTTTGCCCCCCCCCCC